TGTGTCTATTCTGGTATAATTCTGTGAACTAGAATCTGTACAAATGGAAATTTCCGAAAGATATTCAACTTGAGTTTTTTTTGTGATATTTCAGGACTTTTAACATTTCTTGGTGAAATGAACTCGATATACTCTTTCTAATTCCGACCAAGTTTGCAGGTTTAATCTATGTTAAAAAAAGAAGGGATTTTTGTTGTGTAAAATAAACATAATCAAAATTTCCTAGGACTTGTTGGATAATTGATTTTCTTTTGCATTTATTTATCATTTTGAAAAATTTGTTTAGTTCTTTGTATCTGCTTGGTGAGGTTACGTGGACTTTTATGGAGGCATAAGTCGGCCACAAGCCTTGAAACTTCATGATTCATTGACACATATATATGTGTTCGAATGTTAAATAAGTTGACACAGGATTTTCTAAAAAAGTATGACACGACATGTGGTTAATACGTTGATTAAATTATTTGAAATTTTTTATTTGTATAATATAATTATTTATCATTTTGAAAAATTGTTTAGTTCTTTGTAGTTGCTCAGTGAGGTTATGTGGACTTTTATGGAGACATAAGTCGGCCACTAACCTTGAAACTCTATGATGCATCAACACAAATATATGTGTTCGAATGTTAAATAAGCTGACACAGGATTTTCTAAAAAAGTATGACACGACGTGTGGTTAACACGTTGATTAAATTATTTGAAATTTTTTTATTTGTATAATATAAATTTAGTTTTATATTTGTTATTAATTTTTCTTGTTGTAATCTTTTAAATAAGAGTACATATTTATTATTTAATAATAACATTGAATTTAAAATATATAATATTTTTGATTAAAAAAATATATAATCATGTTGATTAGAATATTTGAAAAGTATTGGTATCTCTCAACGGGAACTTGTCTCAATTAGTTGCATGCAAATTATGTAAACAAAATTTGAATTTAAAATATATAATATTTTTGATTAAAAAAAAAAAGATAATCATGCTGATTAGAAAATTTGAAAAGTATCGGTATCTCTCAATGGGAACTTGTCTCAAATAATTGCATGCAAATTATGTAGACACAATTTGAGACATTTGTTGCTATCAGTCAATTTATTTGCTTCAATTTTTGACTAGTAATTTACTTGTGACCTTGTGTTCGATAAATTAATTATTGTGATACACGAAATTCCATTCATTATGTCGTGAATATGGGTGAACTTTGAACTAATCCGAACCAGTCAGCCTGCATGTCTTGACTTTGAAGACATGAATTATATTCATTCATGCACGACACATTCTATTCTATGTTTGAATACACTGTCTTTAGATGATATAGGATTATTAATTTTCTATGAATATTTTTCTTATTTCATTCGCTGAATTAAATATGTCGGTGTTCGACCAAACTTTTATTTAAAGAAGAATCATGGGACTCAGGTGAACACAATGTAAGGCCGAACCCTCCCCGAAAAAGTTTAAGTTTGGACATTGACAGCCGTAATTTAAGGAATGTCATGATTAATAAATCCCTATTACACTGCCTCACCTCGCCATCAACCACTCTTAATATGACACATGGCAAATATGACGACAACACCTATTCTTCTACCAATTACAAGCACGCAATATTTACCCTAAGTCAAGTCATCATTACATGATGTTATAGTTAAAGCTTAGATGTCACTCATCAACCAATCAAGCACAATTTTAGACAGTGACACACATTTCTAAGTCACTAATGTAGCTAAAAAGACCTTAAGGGGTAAGTGGCTTGGGATTTTCATCCTACAATTAGGAGTGAATTGTCCAAATGGTCACTGAACTTTGTAAAAAGTTTTCAAGAGGTCACTGAATTTTAAAAATTACCTAAATGGTCACTGAACTTTGCAAAAAGGTTTCTATTGGGTCACTAAATTTTGCAAAAAGTTTACACGAGATCACTGAACTTTGAAAAAGGTTTCTCATGAGTTACTGAAATCAATGACCTCTTGAAAATCTTTTACAAAGTTTAGTGACCATTTAGGTGATTTTTAAAGTTCAGTGATCCCGTAGAAATATATTGCAAAGTTCAGTGACCATTTGGAAACCTTTTACAAAGTTCAGTGACCATTTATGTAATTTTTAAAGTTCAGTGATCATTTGGAAACTTTTTGCAAAGTTCAGTAACTATTTAGACAATTCACTCTACAATTAGGGTCAAATGATCCCCTCCTTATGTAGGGCTGAGAGAACTTAATAGCAAACACTCGCAAATATTTTCTTCTATCCAATCGCTATGTATATCTTGATCTAATTCCAACAATGTTCAATAAAATCTTCTTTTAAATTGATATAAATTTGTTACGTCATTTTTAGCCATCAACAAAATATACGGTAAAATGCAACATTATTCTCCGACCTATTTCTCTAGTACCAAGTTAATCTACCACCTTTAAATTACTTCTTTTATATTTGATGGATCAAAACCTTTTGTTGTAATAATGCTCATGTAAATATGCTTTACTTGAAATCTTTAGAGTTTTTCCGAGTTAGAAAACAAAACCTATTTTAACAATAAAGTTAGACAAGTGAGATCATGTGACAACTTAATGGAGGTTTGGAAGATTGTACTTGAGATTCTATCGTAAAAAAAGGAATAACTCCATACGTATAGGGTGAGTTTTCACATGTGTTCATAAGTCACTCACATCGGAGGTGGATCCCATGTTGGACCCCATGTAATAGAAAATCGCCAAAAAAATGCTGCCCCACTACATTGTGTGAATCCTGTAGAGGTTCTGTAAAAAAAATTCGTGCGTTATATCAGCCTTCTAAAAAAAGGTACTAAATACTTCTTTGAATTTTAAACAAATCGAATTACTCATTTGAGTTTAGTTGGACCATAGTACAATATTTTAAAAGGTGAACCTTGTTATAAGAATAAATAATCCATACCCTTATATGTTGGCTAATATTTCTATATTTAATTGATTTGAAACTAACATACAGCTATAATGAAATAAATAAATATTGGGAGGGAAGCTGTTTGGAAAAACATGCTTCTAGAGAAATATATTAGGAGGCCAAAGATTTCATTTTGTATTTCATATATAGTAATCATATTTACGTCATGATTTTGATAACTTTATATCACAAATTAATTAAAATAAAGATCTTTAGTTTTTGTTCATTTTTATACTTATGTCACAAATTTTATTTCGTCCCATTATTATCTTTAGTTTTAAATTAATTAGCATATTTTATAATTGATGTCAATTTTTGTCAAAATATTTTGTTAACCCAAAAAAAGTATTATTTATTTATTTTTTATCTTGTTCATTTAAATATACGAGGCGTAAATAATTCTTTTGATTGTCTTCCACTTGATTTTTTTGGTCTTTATCAAAGACAAGATGCATTAATTAATAGAAGGTTGATGATAAAAATAAAAATAAAAATCAAGAGAAAGTGTAAAAATAAACAAAAGTTTAGGACATTTACTGTGGTGTGGATATAATTACTTAGTATATAATGAAAAATAATGATATTCTATATCTTACTAGTACTTAGAATAAGTTAGCGATCAATTATCGATTAGACATTCAGAGTTAGTATAGTCCGGTCCATATGTCACCTATGCACCAATTTCGTTTGTCTATTTAGCATGGCACTTACAAATATTGGCAACTTGTTAAGGTTTGATTTGACAAAATTTATAAATTATTCATAAATTGTCAAATTTCATTTTAACAACATATTCTAGTAAATCTAAAAATATCATCCATCTATTCAAAACTAATTTATATCTATTTATAAATTGATCTGTTTATGATTATGATTAACCTCCACATTCTATGAATAAGTTTCATGTCTTTTTGTATACTTAATATTCAAAATGTTGTAATTTCAATCTCTCGACACTTGATCTTAGGTACATAACAAATTGGAAAAGGTAACTCCACGAGAGAACATGAAATTTTGGGTATATCCTAAACTGGACAAGTTGGGTGTGCAATGAATATGAATTCGTTGCGTCGTAATCTAATGACCAAAGAATTAAGAATAATGATATGCAGCCGCACTGGAATTACAACCCCAGATTATGTAGCGCTAAATAATAGATTGAATGAAATGTGAAATTAAATTTCTTATTTTATTTCACCTATTATTTAATGCCACATTAACGCCATCTAGATTGGGATCGTAATCCCAGTGAGATTAAGTAGCATTACTCAAGAATTAAACTGAGACCATCATAGGGTTAGGATCAATTAATTTAAGGGTTCGTTTGATTGTAAAGATAGAAAAAAACAAACCAATTCCATATAAGATGGAAAATAAAAAATCACCAAAATCATAGGAATTTGATTTCCACGGAATTAGTAAAAAACATGCTTTAAATGTTTGTACCTTACAATTTGAACTCTATTTTCACTTTCGTGTTAAATAGCTAAAATATCAAAACGGACCCCAAGTGTAAGCACCTCTAGAACCATGGAACTCTTTATTTACAAAATTTAGCCTACTTGTTTCATTTGAAAATTGTAAATTGTTACCAGTTAAATTATAATGGTGTGTCTCTATTGCCTTTTGGATAAAATGATAATGCCTTGATCTACGTATATGGAGCAGTTGATCAAGACATTATCTATTCGTATAGATGTGACGTTCGAGACCTTTTGAGTCTGTAGGGATAGGTACATTGTTAAGGGATAAAAATTTCACATCGGTTAAATACCGAAATATTGATCAATTTAAAAAAATCTTGGACTACTCCTCTTAACAGACTGACCTTATTAAGATGGAATTTAAGTCTTAACATAATATCAGAGCCCATTAAACTCGAACGAGCGATTCGATCTGATTATAAGTCTCAATGAATCCGGAGTGGACAGCATTAGAAGATTAATCAGGATTAAAATAATTCATGTATCGGTTTCCCCAAACACCGAATAGCATAAGCATTACTCTTATCTAGTGTAATACGGTGCACCAAACATGATCTTATGGAAACTTAAACCAAGAGAAAAAGAACAGTTTAAAAATGAAATCAACTAAGAAAGAGTTGAAAAAATCGACAGTGATTGTGTCTTACATTCATTTAAAAGCCAGTCAAAAGAACACTACACATTAAGAGACAGTAAAACTAAGTAACCATGCAGCATAGGATATTCCAGGCATAGAACAACTTGTACTAAATTTTCTCTCTTTTCACACCCTTCCCTATTAGAAACAGTACATCCCACCTTCTTATAAGGGCTCAATATCACGAAAAAATTGGACATTGAGAGAGAGAATAAATCACTCAATCATACAATCCCTCTTGCTCCCATATATTCACAAGAAACTCGACCATTTCCTGTTCGATTGAAAGGTCATAAGGGTATATTCAAACATAGACAACACGAGAAATATAAAGAGAGCAGCCAGCAATGGCATGAACAACTCACAGAGAGAGGGATTGGCTGAGGGAAACGCTTGCTAGTGCCCAGTAAGCTTTCATAACTTGCATTCCAACTGCGATAAAAGTACTAGTTAGTTGACAAAAGGTACAGAATTGTGGTCTTGAAGAACAAAATAATCCAAAAAATGATATAGGCTCAAAATGACAGAGAAATTAATCAGAAGTTAAACATGAACTGGATAAAAGATTTGGTTAAACACTCTAGTGGTCATTGACCGTGGAAAAAACTACATATTGAGTACTCAACATTAATTTATTCCTAGTGGAGCTAAATCTAAACTTTGTTTCAAATTGGTCGCTAAACTTGAACTTTCGGGAAAATTTGGTCATTCATCTATGTCCATTCACTTTACTAGCAGATGAGCTAACGATGCAAACTATTTGGCAAATAACTAGATTTCCCTGGCACATTTCCTGTTAGTCAAACTATCGAAAATAGAGAGTGACCCAACTTAAAAAAAAATGGAAGGTTAGTGTCTAACTTGATACAAAATGAAGTCTAGTGACCAATATGAAATTTCGATCAACGTTTAATGAGCACAAGTATAATTAACCCTTATTCCATAACATACGCACAGTACCTACTAACTGATCACATATCACACTATCAAGACAAGCACACTAAAGTAAATATTCACTACACTTCTGTGCATAAATGCAAAAACTAATCTAATTTTTTGCTCGAGGATTTAAATATTTAACTGAACACATGAATAAACACAAAAAAAATAAAATAAAATAAAATAAAATAAAATAATGTATACTTTAAAACAGGCTCCTGAACTTTTCCTTTGCTCTGAGACTTTTTACTTCCATTCCACAGAAGCCTGGTTTGGTTCCAACGCATAAAACCTGCATCAAGAAAAACGAAAAAATTGCAACAGCATCAGAAAGTAACAAAAATAGCGAAGTGAAAAAATTGAAATGATCCCCAAGTCCCACAATTAGTTTACATGTACATAATGCACCACATGGGTATTCAAGATGATTGAAGAGCTGTTCACTGCTGACACTTTTACACATCAGTTTCATGAGAAAAAACAAAAAAGTTTGATAAACTTGCCATGATTTATAAACTCAGAACAGTTGCTAGTGCTGCCAGTGCCACTGTACTGATTGAGGCTCTGATTTGATAAATTAGTTGATGATAAGCTTCTCTGAGATTGAAATTGGCTGTTGTCCATCTCACACGTGCTGGTGCTCCAAAAATCTTCTGAAATGCTCGGTTTCTTCATCACCTGTCCTTGAATTCTCAATCCTTTTGATGGTTCATCCACCGCAATAATTGGTTGGGATTTAGCACAGCAACCAAGATAACCTCTGCTCTGTTACAATTTAAGTTTATACACGTGCAGAAAATGCTGGCATTAAGATGATACAGTTAAATGCCACAAAACATGTACTCTTCATTACTAATATCTTATCAATTTAAGTAGCATGATTTCAGAAACAAATTATTCCACTTCATATTTTCGTAGAAGGAATACTATTGGCCCTTATAAGCACACATCCATGAACGTGTCAAAATTCTGAGGAAGGCAAAAATATTTCTTGTATTAACATGATTCTGTGAAGTACGAACCCAATCCCATACTTCTATCAGTAATCTTAACCTGTTTCTCTGCCTAAACTTATTATAAATCATCAGTCTCTCAACTTACAAAAAAACTATTGGACAGCCCATTTATGAAACATAAAATTCAAACTTTTACAACAAAAAAATTACCTTTTTCCCATTAAATTTGGATTTGGCTACAAAAATTCCATCACTCGTTAATGTCATAAAAGATTTACAACTTCCAAAAATCCGTGTCTAGAAGAAACAAGCAAAATTTAAAAATGCTCTATCGGTAATGAGGCTTTCATCTCGGTGAAATAAGGGGTAAGAGTCCATACAAACCAACATAACAATTCAAAAGAATATAAAAATACATAAACTGACCGAAAACAAAATACTAAGAAATGGTTTACTTCCCCCCCCCCCCCCCCCCAAAAAAAAAGGGGGGGGGAGGGGGAAAAAAAAAAAAATTTTTAAAAAAAAAAAAAAAAAAAAAAAAAAAAAAAAAAAAAAAAAAAATAGGGAAGAAGGGAAATCAACAAAGTAAAACTTAATTTAAAACAAACATAAAATAGATCAATAATATAGCAAATAATAAATTCGTAAACTAGTAATCACAATACAAAAATCTAATAATTAGAACTTAAAACAACCTAAAGTTCTCTCAACACACATATGATCTTGAAGAAAATCAACACATTTTATTTCCTACCATCCTCCCCATCCGTATCATGATATCATCCTCCATTTGCAATCATGATTTATCCTTCCACGTCCGTGTAAAAAGGGCACAACAAAGGGGGAAAAAGAATTTTCAAGACTAGAAAAAAATATATTCCAAAAATTAAAGGGCATAAAAAGTCCATAAAGGCAAGACAAATGGACACACATCTTAGCCTCCTAGAGGAGTAAGACTCAGTAAATCAAGACTTAAGCCCTGAAAATGACACTTAAGGCATAAGCTTCGAGGCATTTAATTAAAACTTAATGCAGCAGGATTCGAGAAGCAGACCTCCAAAAATTATTTGAAATAATGACAAAATTATGGGAACATGATGGAATGGCTTTATGAGAATTTCAATGCATAGTTACAGAAGTGATATTGTTCAACTGGAGCCCTTGGAAGGTGGTGGGTGGGAGAGTAGGGATGTTGGTTTCTTGTCATCAAGGGAGTGAATGATTAACACTGAAGTGCTTGAATGGGGCATCATGTAACATGCATGGAGTATGAATAACATTAACCTTTGTAGAAAATATTTTAAAGATAAAGAGCTCAAAATATTTGTTTCATGGAGTTTTTATTAAGTTGTAACCGACTCAAGGAGCCTACAACTTTTACACTGCAAATGATTCTTGTATTACCATCACGAGTTCAGTGATGAGTGTTCACAAGCAATCAGGATTAACGTTAAGCAAAATCAATTGGCTCCAGAAAGCTTTGCGGACCTGACTAACTTGTATGAAGCTTTCCCAGAGTTCAGGTGGAAGTGAAAGTAAATTAATTGGTTCTCCTTAAAATATTTTTGTCAAGTTCAATAAAAAAACACATTCTGTTTAATCATATGCTTTTAGGGAAAATATTTTTTTCAAAGTCGCTTCCCGAACTACAATTTTCTCATACTTCTGTTCAAAATAGACTATCTAAATTTGATCACAACAAATTAGAGTTAAACTCCATCAATACACCATCCACCACTACAGTGCTCATCATGTCAAAATAGGTTTGTCTTTTCAGATCATTATGTTTCTGCATGATAATCAAATCATGTTTCTAATGCAAGAACAGGACATGTTTTTGGAAAACTTAAGCAGCAATTTTGTACACTGGAAATGATATTGGATCAGTGCAATAAGAACACAAAAAGTCAATGACTTAGAAACAAGGGGTGCTTCTTTCCTCCAGTGTCAATACTTAATGCCAATCCTTATTCCAAGTCTGTACAGTTGATTTATAACTACACAAATTTTGTTGACTAATTCCTAGTCCCACCAAAAAGCATAAATAACTTATTTTTTCATCTAAAAAGCATGAGTAGTCTTATTTTTCCATCTAAAAAGCATGAGTCGATCCAAAATACTAATAAATACAAACACTGATCTTGATGACCTCAACATATGTTCAATTGTTCATTAACACAAGACAAAATGTCCAGATAATAAAAATAGCAATCTTGAAAAATCAATGTATGTTCATAGTAACAAGAAAGAAAAGATCCAAGTCCTTTACAAGATAAAATCATTGTCATATTCTGAACAGAAGATAAACACAAAAAAATAGATAAAAATGGAGTACATACCTCATACAAGCAAGGAAGTGATTGATCCAAGCACGGAAAGAAATATACCGCACCATTTATGAAAACAAGTACTTGGACACACACAAATTGTTTGCTCTCAGATCATAGGGCCCGAAAAACATCAATTTTCAGCAATTGAAGGGAAGGCCTGTAACATTTGGACAAATTTATACACATCAATAACTTCTTACCGTTTCCAAACTTATATATATACAATTACATATGCATATGTAACTTGTGGCTGTGCATATACATGAAATGGGAAGTGTGCAGATTGTTTTACCAGATGAAAACTGAAAATAGCATGTGCCATCACAACTATCTATCTGCCTAGTCTGAAACTATGTGCATTTTCTGCTAAGTTTTGTAACCAAAGTGGTTCTGGTACGATGGTAACAAGTGGATGTTCATTGATAATTATTCTCTGTTCACTTATAAAATAACTTACTGATTTCTTTGACTAGTAGATTAAATTAATTTTCATTTTGTAATCTTACATAAAACTCGCAAAATATTAGTATTCCTTATCAACGTCAATATTTATAGAGCCTGGTAAAAAAATTTACTAATTTGTAAGATATAACATTATCATAAACAGTCATTCTAACTGATTAATAGTGCAGTAATATGGAAGGAGGCATGATCTATTATTGAAGTAAAAAATGTCTAAATGAATCAGAGGCATCTGATCAAATTGGTTAGGTCATGTAGAAACAAAGTTCAAGTGTACAGACTTGTATCTTGCACGTGTTTATATGCCATTTAAGACCCCAGGAAAATGGACAAAATCCTTTAAATACAATTTACTGGGTACAGGTTCGTGATTTAAATGATAAAATATTGTGTTAGAAGCAACCCATATTACTGGGTCTTCTATTTTGATTTAACTATTTTGTTGATCGGCTTATGTCCATGCAGTTATAATTACTTTAATAACCATCAAAGAAAGCATGAAGTAGAAAAATCAAATGAAGTGGCTCATAATAAATAAAAAATACAGTGCAAAAGGGTATTTTACAATACCTCAAAGAGTAAAAATTATCGTGGGGTAAGATTCTCTTAGCAAACTTGCCCTCTATGATGCGGACTCAGATACGGGTACGTATCAAAGTGTCGAATATTTCATTTTTTAAAATGTAGGGTACTGGGATATGGCTAAAAAGAGTCCAAATTTTGAATACAAGCACGAAAGTACATGTTTAAAACTTCAATTTTTTTACTAATCCAATATGTCATTTTGAATAGACCAAAATCAATTATTCACAATGAAGGAAATGGGTATTGAATAAGGAATTAAGATGAATAAAATAGAATTTTGGAATTTAGTTTCAATTATGGGAATAACTAAATATTATATAAAATAAAAAATAAGGAACTTGATTGCAATTTTGACTTAATGGAGAACTAAGTAGCACTATATGGAACTCATTTTCATTTTAGACAAACAAAATTCTAAACCAACGATACAGAGAGGGAAAGAATGAAAAAAATGAAAATGAAAATAAATAAGAGATAAGAAAAAGAAGGGAAAACCTAGTGCCGCAAAAACGACAAAGTGTTCGATTGTATAAAGAGCAGAAACGGGAAAGAAGAAACGGAAAAGAAAGAAAGAAAAAGAAGAAACAAAAACGACAAAGTGTCTAATTGAAAATTGGAGAATTCGACACATATTTTATATCCATACTCATGTCGTGTCGTTTTCGACATGGGTACTACGACTTTTTCGAAGAGTCTGAGCATTAGAGCCTGCCCTTAGTTCTAAGGTTCAAGCAACAACATTAAGAAATGACTAGAGGACCATAAATGTTTCAATCCTCAAATTTGGACAACAATCATACCCATCAAGAAAAGAAAAAAAATTATCTTCCAACTTCACATAATCAAAAACCTAAGCTAACTAGATCCTCTTATCCTAATTCCATTCAAAGAGAATAACTCAATTTCAGAGAAATTTCCATGCAATGCCAGCCAATCTTATCAGAAACTATTTCTCATAATCACAAGCAAAACATAATTATTATTATTATAAGATAAGGACACCTTTTGCCTCCAAATTTTCTCAAAATTTCCCAGGTTGAGAACTTTAAAAAATTACATCATCATCATTTTTGATACTTAAAACAAAGAAATAGTACTACCACAATATAAAAATAACATGGCCAGAAAATGGGCCACATAAAATCTACTTAAATAAATGTCAAATTCCTCAAATACAACATATTAAAGAAATCCAAAATGAAATTCTCTCCCATATCCAATAATGTCAACTGGATTCTATGTCATATGGAAAAAAAATAAAAGTAAAAAATAAATAAATACCTACACTTTTACTAACAAAACACCCCAAAAATATTACTTTTCTAATTCCATCTCACAGAAACAATACAGAAAATACGAGAAAGCACTAAGAATCTACAGAAGTCCCCGGAATCCTAAAATCTTGTTGAACACCTAGAAAACAGAAGCACAAGAACATAAAATATCCAAAATTTATAACAAAATTGTTCCAGAACACTCAGAAGTAACAAGCATGAAAAATAGAATCCCCAAAAATTTACAAAAAAATGTCCTAATATACCCAGAAAACACAAGGATAAGCAAATAAAATCCCCAAAATTCACAACTTGTTCTAAAACACCCAAATTACACAAACATAAGGAATAAAAATTTCCAAATTTTACAACGAATTTTCTATAACACAAGCACAAGAACATATATCTCCCTACAAATTTACCTCAAACCGTTCTAAAACAACCAGAACACAAAAGAACAAGAAAATTAAATTACCAAAAATATCAAAAAATTGTTCAATTATTGTAGATACAAATACTACACTGTATGTATTAATTAGACGAGAAATACCTGATTGATGAATTCATGCTGTTCTGCGGAATGACGAAGTTTAGTTAAATATTGTTCCTATATCAGTCAATTAAGTTCAGTGTTCAGTGGGCTGGGGTTACAGTGTTTGACAATAATATTTGTTGGAGAATGTACGAATAAAGAGTAAAAATTTTTAATGATTTATATTTTCCCTATATTTTATTGTGTGAGTTGGGGTGAAGAGTGATACTTTAGCAAATAATTTAAAATTTTAAAAGAGAACAAACAGGCACTTATTATCGCCGACTAAAGCTACCAGATAAAAAAAAAAATATATAATTACTATAGTTTTAAGGTATACTTTAAAATAAAATAAAAATGTGCAATTCTTTCAAAAATCAGGTTATCATATTTTTGAGATCACTTAATAAAATTTTGTAATCAATTAATTAATTAAATGGTCAAACATACAATTTATGATCATCGTTACGTACTAATTACAAATCACACAACATCACAATAAAAAAAATACACAAACTATAGATCACAATTACAAATTTAATCCCTAATCACACTTTTTTATAAGTTTCAACTAATTTATCAGTCACAATTATCAAATTAACTTACGACAATTACCTAATTAATTGATTACAAATTATCTTCATAATCCCCACCTTAGTCCCACGCCACTCCACCATTGTTGGTACCACCCAAATCATCACCGACACCTCAAATCTACAACTCACCACCCCTAACACCACAACTTTCACCTCAAATCCACAACAATCACCACCACACCTCCTCAAACTAAAAACGTGGGCTCCATTGTGGATAAATGTCCACTTCTAAATATGAAATCTTCACTAGTAGAAGTCTGTCAGCTTTAATTACAAGCGTCGAAGAAATTTAACTCAAGTAGGATTCAAGAGTAAAATTGTTTGTTTATAATTTCTAACAAAGGAAACTTGATCAGGAATCCAATAAACGTAATGGGATCATAGGAAAAGAAGGTTGCTTCTAAATATAATGTTTTTTTTTTTTTAGCTAGTTATAGTATATATATATTTTTACTTATGAATCGACTTATAAATAAATTGAATGGCATATTCTAAGAAAGTTGTCACAACTTATAAGAGTCCGAGGTCGTAAATGCTTAGAAGTTAAAATTAGAAATTTTGGGAACTTGGCTCAAACATATCTTATGATTTATGAATAATATACATAAATTTGACAAAGTATACAATAGTTAGCTCCTCAAGACCAACTTGAAATAAAATCTAGTACCAAAGTTTGTATGCAAATATGCAACGGAGTTGTATTCTACCTACACATTTTTATTTGATAAGATATATTCGTGATTCAAGAATTCTTTTACGAACTCACTCATATACATGTGGCGCGAGCATAAATACAAGCGATAAGCCTAGAAAAAATAGAATTACTCTTTCATATTATCTTTGCACATCTTTATTTTTACTTTTTGATTCAATCCCTACCATTTATCTCTGCAAGTCAATCCTTATGTCTTTGACTCTCACAAGATCTAGATAATCTTATTGATCAATTTTGACACCAACCAAAATTTGTTCAGAGTATAAAATAGGGTTAGACATGGTTCGATTCGGTTCGGTTCTAACAAGAATCGAACCGGACCCGAAATTTTCGAGTATATAGTAAGTGGAATAATTGTATCCAAATTTAATTGTGGAATCGTTTGGGTTCGATTCCATTCAGTTCAGATCGGTTCTGTTCGATTTCCAAGTTCAGTATTATAATTACATTTTTTAATATTTCCAAAGTGACATTAATTCAACTAATGATATTTTCAATCTTAACTCTTACAAAATAACATAGTTCAATCTTATATGCTCTTTGCGTCTTTCTTTGATGTGTTTTTCATAAATTTCATTGTTAAAATCACAAGAAGAAAAAGATAGCAAGCTCAAAATAATTAAGAGAGTCATCATCAAGCTTCAATTTGATTTCTTCAGAACGGTAGAAACGACACTACGGTAGAGTAATAGTTTTGGATAAAACTTAGTTCAATTTGATTAAATTGGTTTTGAAGTGAAAATTAGAAATAGGAAAAATCATATTTCTGGGTTTGAACTAAATTAACTAGTTAGCAAATTTATTTAGAAAAAATAAAACAATTGACTTATTTAAAATAAATTAATTAAAAAAATTCGGGAGATTCGATTTTTATTCGATTATTTGGTTCTTGATTTAGAACCGAGAACCGAACAGAACCTGTCGGTTTTCGAATTCAGATACCCCTTCGGGTATTTAACTTAAGAAAGATCGATTAATTTGATTCGAGAGTTTTGTCTAGTCCCAGTATAAAAGTTTTTTAAATCTACAAATATTGCTATTTTTTGCTCGTCTGGGTGCTTTTTTTGTTTAGAACATTATTTCATACAAATGGTATATTCTCTTAATTCGCACCAAAATATATGAAAGATTTACTCCAGCATGCGATCGGATACTGTTCTTGTAATCTTCTTTATTAATATTATTTTTTGAGAAAGTCTCGGAAAAATAAATAAATAATGGATGCAAAGTTAATTTTATTTTTTCTTACACAGTCATTTATTTTAGAGGGAGCATATTGTCTAATCATTGGACAATGTCTTAAAGGCAATGGTCTCTTTCTCTATTAATTGAAAGGTTATTACTGTTTGTACAGTCCAGCAAGGACAGTACAATTACAGCCCTCATTTGTCAGTGGGGTTTGCGATTATTTTAATCGTGGATCTCACTCCTCACATGCGAGTGTGATGTGAACCATGATGTAAATAATACTGTATTATTGAAATGACATGATGCAAATATCTCTGCTCAATTGGGATGTAAATATGGTTAATTTACATATTTGAATAATACATTGAAGAAGCTACTTGTACGTTGTTTGGCCCCCATTAAATTCAATTACATTACATTTTATTTTTTTCTTTCCTATTTTCAACTACACAATCTTTCATAAAATAATATTACACGTAAATCGAAAAATTTTCCTTCTTTTTCAATCACTCATTTTAAAAAAAATATATTATTCTACCTATTTTCATTTTCAGAAAATGGGAGCAAACGGGGCTAAGTTTGCCATTGAAAATGTTTCATTGATTGTTTAAAGTGTTACTAATATCAATGTATAAAAAGCTACCACCTCACAACAATACCAAACTGAATGTCAAATTTTTACGTAATTGTAACAAGAATGAACATAAAAATGGTTTAGTACGATAGAATATTGGTGTATAGGAAAAAATATTGAATAGTAAGTTACATCTATTGATGGATAGGAGAAAGTAGATCAAGTCCTTCAATCTTTTAGGTGAGGAATTTCTCCTAAAGACAATGAGAGATCTAAGTTTAAGCTGTCATCCCTTACACTTGAAGTAGTAGCCAGTTTCTAGCCCATCCAATGACAACGGTTAATATTGCTCTAATTAATTCATCAAAAAGTTTATCTTAGACGAATACCTTCAAGAGTCAAAACCATTGTGCTTTACTCATTGTCTTTTAAGTGTAATAGTTAGATACCCCTTGTTTGTACCAATAAGAACCCAATCTCCTTCTAAGATAAGAGGTCTAAGGAGTTTGAAATATATATGCATAACATATAAATTTTTTAGTATAACTCCAAAAAGAAAAATAAATAAATAAATAAATAAATAATTGGGGTAAATTATGGCAAAGGTCTACAAGCTTTTATATGCATTTTCTTCCCAACCCTTTTTCTGGGCTACTTTGTACTCTAACCTTTATAAAATAGAAACATTCATCCATTTTGAAGAATTCCATTCATTTTCTCGATAGTCAATCCACTTTACCTACAAATTTAAAAATTAAAAAATGGCTGAATTATTGTTTTAATATTCTTAGCTAAAATATTAAAAATTTGAAAGTTCAAAATTCAAAAAAGAATTAAAAAAAAAATGTAATCATCTTTTTTCCACCACCTCAAGATCACACCGTTATCATGACCATTGTTCACGAAATTATTTGTTTCGATTTAAAACCCACCGCAAGTGTACGATTCGTTAACAAGTAGTAAAATTGACTATGAGTCCAAGTATCGATCCCACAAGGATTGAATTAGTTCAAATTAACCTATTATGATCTTAATCGAAACACGAAAGTAAAATTGATGTATTGTGATGTAACTAAAGAAGATATAAACTATGATGCAATTATGAATGAGAGAATTATATTACATGCAAAATGACTTGGACACGATCTACGAGAATTTATGGAATTAATGAATTTTCGAATGCACTAGGATCACGAATTCCTAAGCAATACTCATTCAATTTTCAATCGTGCAAATTTGATACACAGTTCCATAAAAGATGAATCAATATTCCTATTTTAATTTAGCAATCTTTCTCGAGCAATGTCAAACCTAGCGCAATATGTGATTCGACTATATCTCTATGACGAATACTAACGTACAGGAATGCATTATGAATTTAATGAATATTCAACAATTCACACAAGGTATAGAGGTATATTTCTATCCCCTATCGGACCCTATGATGATTTATACTATGTCGAACCTATTTTTCTTCTTTCGAATGCATAAAATAGGCCACCAAAATCATATAATTACGTGCATAATAATAATATGGAAATAAAAATGTAATAAATTATTCAATTCCAGAACATGTGTTTAAAATTGTCAAATATCTAAATAAAAAATCAAATATAGGATTGCAAGGTTCATTGATCTCCTAGCAATGAAAAGTCTAGCCTAATATGCTAAAAAGAAGAAAATACAAAAATTGTTGAAGAAACGTCATCACCTGAATCAAGTTTCAATCGAATCTTCATTTGGCACGAAGTTTTCCTCTTATTTTCTCCTCGTTTTCTTCTTCGAAATCTCCCTTTTTCTTGTAAAAATGGCATCCCATTCGTTTTGGTCAAGTTTTCGTTTATATAGGACCTTGAAAAGATTGTTTCCATAACAGTTTCAACGGAATAAGGAAACTACGGATTTGGGCTAAAAATGCTCTATGCGACTGCATAGAGCATCTCTATGTGGTCGCATAGAGTAAAAGTTTTGTGAGAATTAATGTTCGGTTTGCCTTTATATAGCCGCATAGAGAGTAGCACTATATGGTCACATAGTGCTATTAGCTATGGAAGAAGTTCATTTGGTTCCTTCTGCTCAATTCCTTCACT